ACTATTTTTGTTGACCTTTGTCCATGGAAGGTCCCTGCAAAATTTCATTGAAATTGGTTCAGGGGTTTTGGAGAAGAAGTCGAAAATGTAAATTGTTTACGGACGCACGACGGACGACGGACGACGACGGACAAAAGGCGATCGCAATAGGTCACTTGAGACTTTGTCTCAGGTGACCTAAAAATGTAAAACTAGAGATTTGTTTTTGTGAACAAACACGTATGTTTCCCCTTGAACAGTTTAAAAGTTATGGCCCCTACAAGATATTCCTGAAAACTTTGCACTTATTTGACCTCGAGGTCAAGGTCACAGTGACATAACAACAGCACACTCTACATGGTCTGTGGCTGATGTATATATACTGCAAGTTTTATCAGGATACTGCAAGTTTTATCAGGATATCTTTAACTTAGCACTTATTTTCCCTTTCATTACAGTAATAATTACCATAACTTAAGAATGCATAAACAATACCTACACTCATCTTTGTAGCCCAAAAACAAAAGATTCAAATATCCCGATCTCCCTTTCAATGAAATTGAAATAATTCACAAAAACACAAACATGCATGAACAGATTCTATGTGATTGTTTGTTAATATAAAACACCTAATCCATTATGTTTTTGAAAATTTGCTTTCCTGGGAAAGAGCCGGACAAAGTTTGAGAATGAAAATGACCTTGACATGCTTTCAAGGTCACAGAAGTCAGATATGTCAAACGCTTCAAACAACATCTCCTGAAGAACTGAAAAGTATATAGAATCCTCATATTCAGCTGAAAGCTTCTTTTGGTAGAGCCGGACAAATTTTAAGAAGAAAATGACTTTGACCTACTTTCAAGGTCAAAATGGTTTCAATATGTCAAACACATCAAAATACTGTAACACAGCAGTGTTACGACGTTGTGTAACCGATTACGTATATCAGGTATAGATTTATTTACATCAGAAATATCTCGGACAACACTTCAAGTGGGGCTATGAAACCTTGACAGTCAGTGTTACGATGTTGTGTAACCGATTACGTATATCAGGTATAGAATTATTTACATCAGAAATATCTCGGACAACACTTCAAGTGGGGCTATGGAACCTTGACAGTCAGTGTTACGACGTTGTGTAACTGATTACGTACATGTATATCAGGTATAGAATTAATTACATCGGAAATATCTCAGACAACGCTTAAAGTGGGGCTATTGACCCTTGACAGTCAGTGTTACGACGTTGTGTAACTGATTACGTATATCCGGTATAAAATTAATTATATTGGAAATATCTCGGACAACACTTCAAGTGGGGCTATGGAACCTTGACAGTCAGTGTTACCACTTTGTGTAACTGATTACGTATATCAGTAATAGAATTAATTACATCGGAAATATCTCAGACAACGCTTCAAGTGGGGCTATGGACCCTTGACAGTCAAGTGTTACGGGTTTGTGTTATTGAGTATAGTGGACAACCTGGGCAGTGGTACGACGTGGTGTAAACCGACCAGCTGTGCGAGGCTTATGAACCCTTGACGGTACTTGATTTTGTATATCCGGAATAGCTCGGGCAACTGGTGTAAATATTACGTATATTGGGATTATTAATCCAGATTACAATGCACGAAACAATAGATTATAATCGAGTATAAATATAACCCAGGAGGGGGATAATGAGAGGGAAGAGCAAGGGACAGCTAGAGAAGAGGCCAGAAGGGCTAGGGACAGCTAGAGATGGGCTAGAACTAGTACAGGTAGAGACGGCTCGGAGACGACTGAGAGCGAGACCAAACGATAGAGACCGATCCTAATACTTGATGTTACCAGAATAAACTCTTAACCAACCATCAACCCTTGTCACTCGTGTTGTGTTACATGAGCTGATTTGGTGCTGTGACACAATGCGACAACATTAAAACAAAATATCACATGTGTTATGAGGGCACGCTTCCAATTAAGAACGAGACTTCAAGATGTAAACGACCAGAATCTAACCACTATACATCAAAATGGAAAATGCAGAAGAAAGTACAGAAGAGGACGTCCATTTGGTGAAGGAGAAGAAAGCTTCAACATGACGGACACGCCCACACTTCAAACAAGGCTGGAGCAGAGACATAGTATGGTAAGTGATTTAGTTTTATCTCGACACTGAAGTAAATCTCATTATGGCAAACATTGATGCAAGTTCTGTTTTTCAAGAAATTAATTTACAACTTTCGAGCTTATGTTCTATGGAAGGAGTACAAAATGTCACTCAAATAATTAAACCATTCTCAGGGAAACCAGACTTATTCAAATCGTGGATTAAAGATATAGAAAAACATGCTAATTCAGTAAACCTAGCAAAAGATAAATTAAACTTGGTAGCACTTCAAACTAGTACCGGACCAACTGGTGACTTTATACATAGGTACTTAAATGTCAATAAATCACGATGGTCGAAGAAGGATTTTAAAGGTTTTACCTCTATTTCTCCTATTGGACCCCACCCTTCTGCCCCCTGGGAGACCACACCCACTGCTTATACAAAATTGAGTCCCCTTGGCCCAAGGATGCTCCAGACTAAATTAGGATAAAATCCCTTCATCACTATGGTAGAAGAAGGGTTTTAAAGGTTTTCCCTCTATTCCCCCTATAGGGCCCAGCCCCTCAGGTCCCAGGGGAGGCCACACCCACCGTTTATACAAAATTGATTCCCCTTTACCCAAAGATGCTTCACACCAAATATGGACCAAATCTTTTCATTCCTACAGAAGAAGAAGGATTTTAAAGAAAAAAAAAATTGCTATGTTTCCCCTTTTGGGTCCCGCCCCTCCGGACCCTGGGGGGTCAGACCCATGGTTTATACAAAATTGATACCCCTTCACCCAAGGATGCTTCAGACTAAATATGGAATAGATCCTGTCATTCCTACAGAAGAAGGATTTTTAAGAATTTGCTATATTTCCCCTATTGGGCCCTGCCCCTCAGCCCCCAAGGGGGTCAGACCAACCGTTTATACAAAAATGGTTTCCCTTAACCCAAGGATGCTCAACACCAAATATGGACCAAATCCTGTCATTCCTACAGAAGTAGAGGGATTTTAAAGAATAATTTGCTATGTTCCCCTATTGGGCCCCACCCCTCAGGCCCTTAGGGGGGCCAAACCCACGGTTTATACAAAACTGAGTCCCCTTGGTCCAAGGATGCTTTCAGACTTAATAAGGATAAAATTCCTTAATCCCTAGGGTAGGAAAAGGATTTTGAAGGTTTTACCTCTATTTCCCCTATTCGGCCCCGGCCCTCTGCCCCAAGGGGGGGCCACACTCACCATTTATACAAAATTGAGTCCCCTTGGCCCAAGGATGCTCCAGACTAAATAAGGATAAAATCCCTTCATTCCTACTGTAGGAAAAGGATTTTGAAGGTTTTACCTATTTCCCCTATTCGGCCCCGCCCATCTGCCCCAAGGGGCGCCACACCCACCATTTATACAAAATTGAGTCCCCTTGGCCTAAGGATGTTCCAGACCACATTTAGTCAAAATCTACTTGGCCGTTCAGGAGAAGTAGCGTTTAAAAGGAAAAGTTGACGGACGGACAGAAGGACCGACGAACGGATGATGGACAACGGACGCTGTGGAATCTCAGTATATACCAATGCATGGGCAGACGAGTAGCAGTCTACCCTTGGGACTTATAAGCTTTCCCACCACGGAGTGATCTCCCATCCTCTTCCTTTTTATGGCACCTAGCTGCTGCCTGCTGACGGCCCGGAGCTAGCTCCATCGTAAAACTTTGTTTTGTCAGACTGGTTCGAGTGTATTGTCAACTTATTGCGCACTTTGTGTGCTATATACCCATCTGCCCTTGTTACTACAATTATTTGTTGTTGAAAATTATTTTTGTGCCTTTTTCGGCTGGTTTTTAGTTCACCCGCCCAAAGGGCAAGTGAGCTTATGTCATGGTGCAGCGTCCGTCCATTAGTCTAACCATTCTACCATTATACCTCAAACAAATTGGTAAAGAAACAAACACATTCGTTATAAGTAGATCCTGTTTGTATATATCACATGTTAAATTCGAAAGAAATCAGAAAAGGGGAAATTGACAAATTTTCGTGTTTTTTGTGTGAAATATTGCCTGGTCTGTATGTATGGGCCGCCGTATATATGGAGAGTGCTGTAAAGGGAGGTAATTTTGCAGACGATGCATGTTTCCTTCGCTGTGATCGTTGGTAAATACACGTACATCTAGTATACATCTAGTTATCAATTTAAAAGTTCTTGTATTCGATTAATTGTTAGTTTGAGAATACAATCCACAAGTGATTATGTCATGGATAGATGAATTTATGATTTTACGATATAGTTTTTTGTCTGTCTACATGACATCACGCTATCAGTGGTATTTCTTTATTTGCACCGACAATATCCTTAAAACTTGGATAAACAAGAGGCCCAATGGGCCTGCATCGCTCACCTGGTATAAATCTCACACTTGTAACCTTAAAAGTGATCTAAAATAAAGCTATAGGCAAAATAAAATATCAGTATTTATGATTAAAATTCATTCAAAAGAACCTGTTAATTTTGTTTTAAACATATCACCCCTGTGATTGAAAGTCGAACAAAGTCATTATGTTAAACAAATTTTATAGCCTTTCATCTCAGGATGCAACTTGCAAAGTATCAACATCCTGGGACCCATGGTTATTCAGAAGAGGTCGATTGAAGATTTTAAACAAATTTGACCCCTGTGACCTTGAATATAAGTCAAAGTCATTCACTTTAACAAACATAGTAGTCCTTGATCCCAGAATGCTACTGACTAAATATCAACATCTTAAGCCTTTTGGTTATTCAGAAGTTGTTTAAAGTTTTTAACATATTTGACCCCTGTGACCTTGAATATGGGTGAAGGTCATTCATTTGAACAAACTTTGTAGCCCTTCATCTCAGCATGCTACTGGCTAAATATCATCACCCTGGGCATTTGGGTTATTGGAAAGAAGTTGTTTAAATCTTTTAACATATATGACCCCTGTGACCTTGAATATGGGTGAAGGTCATTCATTTGAACAAACCTTGTAGCCCTCCACCCAAGCATGCTATTGACAAAATATCATCACCCTGGGCATTTTGGTTATTGGGAAGAAGTTGTTTAAAGTTTTTAACATATTTGACTCCTGTGACCTTGAATATGGGTGAAGGTCATTCATTTGAACAAGCCTTGTAGCCCTCCACCCAAGCATGCTATTGGTGAAATATCATCCCCCTGGGCATTTTGGTTGTTGAGAAGAAGTTGTTTAAAGTTTTTAATATATTTGACCCCTGTGACCTTGAATATGGGTGAAGGTCATTCATTTGAACAAACTTTGTAGCCCTCCACCCAAGCATGCTATTGGTGAAATATCATCACCCTGGGCATTTTGGTTGTTGAGAAGAAGTTGTTTAAAGTTTTTAACATATTTGACCC